ATTCACAAATTCACGTATGTCAATAAGGTAATATGGAAATCTTTACAGTGGATAGAACTACCATATTGTAGTAAATGCATTCCTCTCAAACTCAAAACCTTTCAAGTGGCCAGAATCCTACTGGATATTTATGTGTGCATAAGAAGAATCATGGGATTTCTGGCTAACTGATGATGCCAGTCACATGTCAGTTGGAAACCTGATTATCCCACCTGCCTGTTGTCAATCAAATGTGGCAACCTACACAATTGCATTTATGTAAACAGCAAACAGGATTGGGGCTGATTTGCATATTATGGGTAACAGATGAAGAAAATGCAAAATGCAGTTTCTGAAAGTCTAATAAGTTATTGCATGACTTATAAATTTTATGAGTACCTCAGATGACATTTTAAATATCCTACTGAAGAGGAGAAATTAGCACTGAATGTTAAAGCACTGATTTAGGTAATGCGGTTAATAATTTTCCTTGGTTAAGAAAAACCAAGATGCTTTCATGTACAACAGCTCTTGGATAAATGCAAAATTAACAGAAATCCAGGCCACCCATACATATCTTCAAATATGCTCAGAGTTCTACATAATACTTGCCAACTCAAAAAAGGAAAAATACCTGAGATGAACAATTCTTAAGAATGTTGGCTAAGAATAGCTATTCCCACCCATCCTTACCTGGAAAACTTAATGTTACTTCAGTAAAAAGAGAGAAACTACCTAAAGGTGTACCATTTTTCCTGGACTGAACAAAGCCAATCAATTTTTTATATTATAATTTTTAACAATAATTATACTTGACGGGGCAGGTGGAGCAATATAAAGCCAAACGAATATTAAAGTCTTGTGCTAACCTCATCTCACATTTGAAGAACTCTCTATAATTATGGTGTTGCAGTGTTCCCACTTCTAAAAACCATCAAATTCTGAGACTATATACACCTGAGTATGAAATACTTCCTTCCTTTCCTCAATTAATGCCACAAATACTGTATAACCTGCAATGCATAGTTTTAAAGTCAAAGAAATAAACCTAAATAAATCTAGCAGGAAAAGCTTTCTAAACAAAATTGTTTTAAATTGCATGCAGCTAAAACAAGCTTGACTGAACAGAACACACACAAAGATTAAAGCCTCATATCCTCTTCATCTCAGCCAAGAACGTCACTGTAGTAGGAACAGGTTACTGAACATACTGCCCAGAAGCCCTGTTATGTTGCCTCAGGATGACGACGCTCACATTTATTTAACTTCCTTTACACACAGAATTTGAAGTTATATGCACTCTCAAACCAAAGTTTCTTACTTGAAATTTCATAGCAAACAGATTATTACTTCCATCCATAGGCTAAATCTTCATTAGCAAAGCCCTGCTTTATCAAAATACACATATTTTATAGTTAAAGAAAATGCAACTTTTTAGCAACGAATTATAGTAGTCAATGTCTCGGTCACAATTCTTAGGCAGAGGTTCCTTCATAAGATTCCTTCAGGAACAGCTTCAGCACTTCAAAGAAATCAATGTAAATTATGAAAAACAACAGTCTTAATTACTTTCATTAACATTCAGGGTACATGTGGTTCACTTTTCCAGAATTAAATAAGGCAAAATTCATTCATTGTTACAACTGTTACCTCAACAATATCTGAGTTGGTTCTGCTCTCGTGGGGTTCATTGTACTCTGTGTATTTGAGAAGAACTTTGTCCATATCTGTGCTCGCATACTGAAAGAGTTTGTTAGAACTGTTAAAAATGATGAGTGCAATTTCACAGTCACAAAGCACACTCAGTTCATAGGCTTTCTTCATTAATCCAAACTTCCTTTTTGTGAAGGTCACCTGCATAAGAGAGGAGAGAAAGGGTTTTTTTAGAAAACATACAGAACAGTTTAAATGGCAATTATCAGGTAATGTGCACACAATTCAACTACATCAGCTTTAAGCATAACAAAAAGGTACATTCACATTGTATATGTTCTCAGAAATAGCTGCTTGCAATCAATTTAAGAGAGACTGGTACAATATTCAAAGAACTATATTAGATACCTATTAGATACCTCTAAGCATTTGGTTATGACTGGTGAGATTTTTAACTTTTCTCCATCAAATGGCACACCTTAGTATAGCATCATGAACTGCTTTTGAAAGTCTGCTCTCTTTCAAGGGTCATTGGCAGACATATACTCACATCTGTGCGATGATTCCAAAACGCTCAAAAAGAGAAATAAGTAAACTATCCTTCCTACTGGCAGCTTACTGTAGGCAGCTTCTACTATTTTGCAACCATGTGAAGCCGCCTGATTAAAACGCATGCAGAATTATTAGAAGATCTATATACTTCTCATTTTACACAGACTTCCTAGTTTTTTATCCATTCTCTAAAACAAGAGAGTCAAGTACAGTAGTTCACTACAGAACTGTAGGGTAACATGTAGGTAAGTCCTAAACATATCTTCTGGAAAAGCTGTCATGGGAAACCGGGATATTAAAGACTGCAGATACTGCAAAGCAAAAGAAATTAATTTTAAAGGGATCTGGACTTTCAAATTTGAGAAGGAACACATTGCTTTTTTCAGTGTTTACTGTTTCATAATGCAAGTTTGACATTCAGCTTTGCAACAAGAACATTGTATCAACATTGCCTTTCAGCACAGGATTTAATATTGTTTTAGTTGAGGACGCTGCTTGCTACTTAAAGGAATATAAGAGTTGTTAAAACTAAGGGCAGACATCATTAAAAGCTATTATATTGTAAAAGCAGGAATGTAAAACTGCAGACATAACCAGACTGATCCCACAGGGCCACAGAATTTCTGCTGCAAAAGCATAAACAGAAGAATTATAAAGGCCTTTTAAAAAATATCTAAAGCATCCATGTGCGCTTTCGTATTTCCTTTTAGGACACTGGCCAAACATGTGTAAGAAGTGGGACTAAAAGTCAATTAAAGTACACAGATACACACAATATATAAACTTGGCATACGTCCAGAAAGGAAATTCACACAGTTCTGTATTCTTAGACAAGATTCTTCTGTAGCAGAGCACAGAGTTGAGGTTCTTCTATGACAAGACACAGGACAAAAAATATTTCAGATATCAGAATTAGAAAAAGAATATTCAGGCCCGCCAGTGACAAAACTAAAAAGCGCCTAGCTACAAAGCACTATTTAGGAATTCATCTGCATAATTTAAGAAGCCCAGAGAAATTGTGGCACTGAATGAAATGAGTTATTAACAGATCTAAAGATGGATATTAAAAATTATATTCTATCTGTCCACCTGCCTCCAGTACAGATCAGTTCTTCCAATCTCTCTGAGCCAATTATAATGCTCTACCGGTAGCCTGAAATATGTATTAATGTCTTATTCAAGTTCTTAACGAAGTGCCTATTTTCTTGTTATGGGTCTGACCGACTAACATGATTCTGAAGTAACTGAAGGAGTTTTACTATAACAAACTGTTGCTGAGAAAGAAGTAACACATCCTTAAGAACAAGATACTCTAAAAGTTAAACATTCTTCTTTCGGGAAGAATTGTAACGTAGTTATTAACTCAATGCAATAGTTATATGTGATTCAGATAAATGAACTTTACAATCAGGTCAATGCACCACTAGCACTGCTCTAAGGACAGATGGAATTGGTTTTTCCATTAGGATGCATGCATTAGGGCTCCACATGATGAAGCAGCATCTGAAAAAAAAACCTGGTTGCTATTATTCATTTACTGTATCAGTAACACAGGGCTTTGCCTTATAAAAAACAAAATACACAGATTATTCATAAAAGTTAACATCTGGTCTTAGCAGCAGGAAAAAGAAGTGAAATTAAGATGAACAGGACATCAAATCATTACTATCTAAAGCTATCTTTAAGGGCCAAAGATACATGTGAGCAGCCCTACCCCCATTCATTTTTTAAAAAAACTGAAAAGCAGCCACAGCAAGCTGCCAGTTTCCGCAAAAAGCACAGAAATTGTTTTACTGTCTTTCTTCCTTCCTGCCACCAGACTGCTCAAACTGTCCTCCCTAAGCTGCTTTCTCCCAACAGAGAAAGAAAGATGAGGAAGGGCTTCAAAAGACTTCCACACAGAATAAATTGCAAAGGAAAGTGGTGACCAACCCCTTTCAATTACAGCTTTCGGAGCAGTTTTTCAGTAAAAACAGGACACAGCTTCACACATCTCAAATATTGTCTAGTTGTAAACCAGAACCTTAGCCCAAACATCCAGCATTTCCAAAATTAGCCCTCCCCATCCCATGTTATCTCTTGCCTCCCACAACAAGCCAGAACATTCACAAAAATGTTTCTCCTATGTTGAAGCACCACTAAGAAAAGCATTTTATGCAATTCTTCCTACAAGGAGCTCAGGCTAATCTACAAAGTTTTTTGCACCACATTTTATCGTGTCATGATAGCTGTAACATAAAGGCAGATACAGACAACTACATGGTTTGTCTAATGACTGTCTATGTGGACATTTGGAGCTTAAGAACATTGTAATTTAGTTAGTTAGTTTTATTTATAAACCACCTTTCTGCCCATAAGAGCTCTCAACTGTAAGAAGGAAAGAACTGTGCCAAGCTGCTGGCATTTGAATTCCACACACTCCTCTTTTAGCTATTGCCATTGGGACAAGAAGTCTTTCCCTTCTTAATAAAAGCTAACAACTGCCTTTGGCTACCTTTCATTCATCCTAAACAGAATAATCCAATCCTACACTAGTCTGTTCAAGCTATTTTATGGCATCCTACAAATGGCAGCGATGAACAGGCAACTTCATGTTATCCCATACTGGGAACCTGTCCTGACTACTTTAAAACTAGAACATGTAATTACTAAAATATTAGCTATGAAACAATACAATGAAACAGCCCAAATTCTCTTGCAGCTGCCAGCTTTAAGATGAGCGGGTAGGCAGCAAGCTGTACTGTACCATGGAAACCTAAATACACAACTATGGCAACAGCAAGTCCTATTCCGTCACTTGGCTAAGACCAGAAAGCAGAGAGAGGCATAAGCAAAGTTATATCAACTGGCAATTTTTGCTTTTGATGGCTGACAAGACAAGTCAACAGTACTTGCCCTGATTTTTATAGTCTTAGATGGCAGGAAAGGGGATTAGCAGCTGATGGGATGATGGGAAGCAAGTAGGAGGCAGCCGCCCACCCATGGAATTACTTGCTAATCTGTGTAGTTTTTGCTTCACGATGCAAAACAACACTGACCCATCAAAATGAGAGGGATCTGAAACTATTCTGCTAATGTTATTGGAGATCTGACTTCAGCTACAGGTGGACAACATAACAGCCCCTAAATTACATGACCTCTCCAAAACCCAATCCCCCATTCAGAAGCAAGCCATTAAAAAAAAGTCAACAGCATTTCTGGCTTGTTCTGGAGGGCTTGTGGTATGCAACCCAATTTCATGAGCATAGCCATAGAGGGTGAAACGCACGGCAGGTTCCAAAGTGGTCCTAGGCAACTACTTGCTAGACTCAAATGTTTACCACCTCAGTCTGAGCAAAAGTCATCTATCATAAACTAAAAATTAAGCTGAATCTGGAAACCAGATTCCCATATTAAGGACTGAAGTAAAATGCAGCATGGCCAGCTCTACCCACAGAGAGGAGAAAACAAAGCAGAATATGCATCTGGATGTTCTACGGTGCATAGCCAATTAAGAACAAAACATCTTCAAGATCAAATGTTATCACGCCTATGAAAAAATGTAATACCTATTAGATACAGTATATACATGGCTAATTCAGAGCAACCAATGATCATTTTCACTTTTGATTCAATGTGGAACTTGACAATAATATCTTATTTTGTATTCTTAGGCTCTAGGAACTGACCACAATAAAGCGGTCAATGCCTAGAGATGTTACTGAATCCAATTTCTATTCATTTCTGGGAAGTAACAAAGCATATCAAATGAAGTTATTACAAGTGCTGCAAAATTAGTATAAATAAATCAGAGCAATATACAAACATGACTAAAAGGGTACTCCATTTCTTAAATTCTTAAGGAAAGGCATTATTCCTTCACTCAAAGTAGGTGAGATCCTCTAAGAAAGAGACATATTATAGTAAGCTATGCCTTTTTTACAACAATCATAATGAAATTATATATATCTATATCTATATATATCTATATCTCTATCTCTATCTATATCTATATCTATCTATCTATCTATCTATCTATATATATAATGAAATTTAAATATATACATATATTTATATATATACTTTATATATTTACTTATTAAATTTATTGATTTTACAACGGGCAAATGCTCTTAGAGCAGTTTATGAATTTGAAAGGACAAATTGATAAAAATACCAACAAAGCAATCAAAATGATAGTCTTAGAATGTCAAGAGGCATCAGTAAAAACACTGAATAAAATCCTGTTACATAGCTGCACCTGTGCAATGGGCATAATGTCTCCATTAGCAACAGGTTGCTATTAAGTAAAGACTTTTATTCATTTCCAGAATGTGCGCAGCTCACATGCAATGAGATGAAAATCACATGGACCCGGAGAAAAAAGTCTTTAATCAGTGGCAATCTCCAATTGACAATCATGCTATTCCCCTTGCACACGCAGAGCTCACCCAACAAGATTTTGGCCACTAAAAGCAAGTCTGAAGACTAAGTGCCTGCCAAGACTAGAAAGTCTTAGCCTGGCAAATAAATATATATAATGAGAATGCTGGAGATCTCCTCAGTTGTCATTCCATTTATTGGGGGCGGGGGTGGCACTATTGACAAGTCTCCCTTCTAGCAGCATATATGTTGAAGTGGGCCTGGAAATGAATGAGTAACATGCACATACGCAGTAAAGTGATGTCTTCAAAACAATCAGCCCAATAAACCAATATTTAAATTAATTCATAAACTGATGCACTAAGATTTCCTTAATCATGTGGCAGATCAATGTATTACACACCTCTTATCCACAAACCAAGAGAAGTAAAGTCATATATCCGCATGATGACAGAGAGTAGATAGAATCTGCTGAACAAGATTCTGGCCTGTGCTTAAGAACATGTGTGACAAAAGAAGATGGCGGACAGTGGAAGTTACTTGATATTCAGAAGTTAAAATACAAATATAGACAAAACTCATGATTTATTTTGTCTGTATTCTATATACGAAGAAGCATAGGAAACAGGCAGGATGAATTTGAAACCCTACTAAAGGAAAAAAAAATTGATCTGATAGGAATCTCACTTGTCAGGATAATACTCAAAACTGGAATACAGGTACAAAACAGTATACCTTGTTCAAAATAAACAGATCTAACAGAAATGAAAAGATAACATAAAGAATATACATAACTGCATGAAACAGAGAAGAATCCACGTTGAAAGCATTTGGATGGGGATACAGGAAAACAGAAGATAACTTCAAAAACCTCAGAACTTCACCAGGAAGCAATCTGTGTGCACATTTCTCAAAGACAGTTTCTGTCACACTTTTTAAGTATACGAGTGGAAAGTACATACTACTTTAAGGATAGTCAAATTCATGGTTTTGGTTCACACTATCTCCAAAGAGTGCTGTGTCTCTGAGCAAATCTCTTCTGCTCTGTCTACTGCATTATTATTGCTATCACTACTATGTTAGCACCACATAATATATTAACTTTGTGAAAACAGTTAGAGCCTTGGCTCAGTAGTCAATTAAATCAGACACTGAAAAAAGTATTTAGAAATTTTATGTTTTACATATGGCAAAATTATTTCATATTCTTCATATGAAAAAGTAAACACTTCCCACATACGTTTGTCATTGATATTGAAGGCAACATTGACACAGAGTTACTTTGATAACCAGTTTACAACCATTTACTCAGGTTACCTCAATTATATGAATGGCACACAGCTCATTCAAGCAGATAAGCGTGCCTAATTGCCACTACAATGACAGTCTTGTGTTAATTATAATCCCCCAGAGTATCAGTTACTCTGTATACCACAGGAGGAGTTTAGGTATAATCCTAACTGAAAAGAAATAATTTAACACATTCCTTACTGTATAATTAGTAAAAAAAAAAGTTCTAAGAGGACATTGCACCCCTCAAAATAACTTACTAAAAACATTGGTTTACTGTCTTTCTGCCCATCAGGACTCTCAAAACGGGAAATTATAGCAACACATAACATACATTACAGTCATTACCATGTTTCCCCGAAAATAAGACTGGGTCTTATATTAATTTTTGCTCCAAAAATGCATTAGGGCTCATTTTCAGGGGATGTTTTATTTTTTCATGTACAACAATCTACATTTATTCAAATGTAGTCATGTCATCTTCTGGAACATCATCATAACTCTCTAAACCCTGAATTCCAGCCTGAATTTCTTGTGACCCTCCAGGGAGGGGGGAGTGGTGGTGGCGGCGGTGATATTGGTGTTAAGGGCCCCAACATGAACTGGCTTCAAACCCCTTCCACTGCAGGACCAGATGGCTTCTGTCTTGTTTCAGGAAAACACCTGCTTGTTGAGGTGGTAGGGAGAGGGGAAGTATGGATCCTGCTGGGCCACACAGACGAAATGGAGTCAATCCTGTTTGCTGCACAATGAGTCCTTGGCAGAGGGTGGGGTTTCCCTTAACTAGGGCTTATTTTGGGGGTAGAGCTTATATTTTGAGCACCTTGAAAAATCATACAGTACTAGGGCTTATTTTCAGGTTAGGTCTTATTTTCGGAAAAACAGCATTTACAAATAAACTGGCAGAGAATATCTTATACTTATTAGTGCATTGTATCTTACTGAACCAAGTACAGTCAGATGTCACCATCACTCTCCATGAAAATTAATAAATCAGTACTGCTCTCATGCAAAACACTGGCAGAGATGGCTTTGTTTATCTCACCTCTAGTACTGTGCACCCTTTTAGACATGTAATGTGCTACCCTTGTTTGAAAGCAAAGAAATGTCCACAACTAACAACCGCATGTGCTCTGTCCATGCAGAAGTGCAGAGAGCTATTATATCATATTTTGGGCAAATTAATCATGCATTTACTAACTTATAAACATTTTCAACCAGCTCTTCAGTTGAAAAGGCTCCTACTTCAATAAAAACTAGAACAGTCTATGCCTACAGGCTTGCAATCTCAAGCATATGACAGAAGAAGAAAAAGAGAGAAGGAACACTCTACTACGAGGGCAAGGCATAAGATCATATCAATATGGACAATTTTTGCATCTCATTTTATTATCTCTTTATTGTAATAGGCTAAATCAAATTTTTATCTCAGTGACTGTACACCCACTAAAATCAGTAGTTTATATTACTTTGTGACTAGTAAGTCTCATTAATGTCAACAGATCTTTTCTAGCAGGAATTGGATTTAGCCCAGTGTACACCCTTTCCTTCATAAATTCTACTCATTTGGAAGAGAAAGGCACAACTGCCCCACCTACAAGTCTGAAATGATTAAAAGTATCACCAGTGAATCTGAAAGCAATCAGAAACCTAGAAAAGAGCCTCCATCTCCAGGCAATTTTGCTTTGCCATTATTACCCCAAAACTAAGGAGGGTAGAAAGGTGCCAGTAAAAATGATAACTATAATCTTTGAACACAGTAATCCAAGAACGACTAAATGTTCTGCTAGGTCTCTCTGAATCAAACAAAATGTTCCCACTGTCTTCTTTGAACCTTTCCCCTCCCTGCTTAGCAGCCAAATGCATAACCAGATACTTCACATAGTCGCCAGAGTACTTATACATCAAAGATAACCAAAGGACACAGGGACGGAACAGGAGCAGAGCTTGTCCTCATATACTAGTTGTGTTAAATCTTAGATGAAGTGAATGCATGCACTTTGACATTAATAAACTATGTTCTTCAGGAAGCACCATTTCTCACCTGTCTGTTCCGTTCATCCATTATTCTTGTGATCTGTATTTTTTTCCTCCCCATTTCTGCTGTTTCCCTCTTTATAATCCAGAAGCTCAAAAATAAAAGAATCCACAAGTTTTGTATCCTACCACATGGTAGACAGTTCTTCCACGACTGAAGCCTGCACACAACACGAAAACACTGTGTTTTCTCAATAAAAACCTAGAATGAAAAAATATTGATATCAGTCTATAATATCAAAAGTACATAGTTCATATTGTTAAAACAAATTCCATTTTAAGTAAGAAAGTGAACAAATTAAAACAAAGGCCAAAATCTTGTTTGCAGTGTTAAGCCAAATTATATGTTCCACCAGTTTTCCTTGGTAAACAAAATGCTGCTACCACAATCCTTGGGGTTATGTGAGCATGCCGGCTTGGTGCATGTATAGACGCACAAACACACACATCTCGAGAACTGTAGCAACAGCACTTTGTTTACCATGGAAGAACAGATGGAAACTTAAACTACAAAAGCTTATGCTACAAACTGGATTTCAGCTAATGTATTAAATTAAAACAAACTTAATTATTCCTTGATCAGACTTGCTGGCTTTAAATTAGGTCCTATGATGCTTTCATTGTACCATGTCTAAAAGAACTTGCCTCTTGAAGTCAGACTATGCATTTTAATCATAGGAGTCATGTAAAAGTTAGGAATCATTACCAACCATCAATTCAGAGTAGACAAAGATTAACAGCTTCTTTTAAAAACCTTAGGTCAGTCTTTCAATGACATTAATAACTTACTATAAATGGAGATATGTCTAAGCATATTTCAAAATACTTGCATTTTTGACAACCAACTCCATTATCTCCCTATACACTCCATTAAATAATCAAAATGTTTAGCAGTTTTGCTTCCTCTCAGACATGATGAAATCGGGAACAAAGTAGACTTCTTTGTTCCAACAATTAAATGCAAAACCAAGTTTTACATTTCTGGGCCCCATTCCATTTTCATTTACACTCTTCAAAATTCTCTTCTGACAGTACAAGATGCTATTGAAGAACTCACAGCTTTCTAACGCTGTTTAAAAATAAACCTATTCTGAGATTTCTCCACAAAATCCCCCATTCTCCCAAAAACTATTTCACAGGAACACACACTGACAAATAGCTGTGAAATTCAATGTTATATTCATTACGGTAAAACTTGCAAGTTTTCACACATCACTAACAAGCCAATTAGGAAACTGATGAATTCTTTGCTGATTGTACTCTTTCCCAAGCATAAGCTTGTGGCACTGTCAATGTAAATTTAAAAAAAAATTATCTTACAAACTCAAATACATGCACATTTACAGTGGAAAACAACACATTTAAAAACAAAAAAGCATACATGTTACTGAACTTAGAGTGAGATTTTAACATCAAGGATTGCAATAAAAGAAAACGAAGAAACAAACATGGGATGCATTGACAAAAATCTAATCATAAACTTTAAAAAGCACCCAGTTTCATACATTCTGTGTGTACGCCTGATCAGAAACAAGGTATCCTCCTGCTCAGCACGCTTCATAAATATTATTCATGTATTAACTGTGTTAAGGAAAAACTGGAATCAGTAGCCATCAAAGGTCATCAATAAATATACAGAAGAGAACACAGAATAGTACGAAGAAAGTGTGGCAGTTGAAGATGAAAAGACAACTGAAGACAGGAAGAAACTGTAACAACTTTGGTTCAGAACAGACAACATGTTCCAATGAAAGGTGACACAAATGAAAACTCATGAGTGCACCCAAAGTAGCACAAGCTGCTACTTCTGAACTGAAGCTGACAGTGTAACTTCAGAAAAGGCAGGAGTTGGGCAAGCAAAATGAACGCATTTAAATCAGCAAGTAAACAAACATTTCAGGAAATATTTCCTTGGTCTTTCAGATTTAATATTTTCTACTGGAGAGGTTATCTGCATGTATCCTTTTATGGGAGTCCACCTAAGCCCTGGACACACCAATAATGAACTAACTGGACTTTTAAAAAATCTACAAATGTACTTTCTACAAACGCATACACTTTCCGCTTGGTCAAGAGCACAGCAGCAGCACCAGACCTTATAATTTATTCGTAATGCTATGTCTGCCTTAGAGACAAAAATATATCAGACAACTTTCCTGCTTTTCAAGTATTTCTGGGAATCTGAAACTACTTGGGTACCTGGAGTGTTCAGTGCTACACAGAGTCTTGATAAAAACATAGTGACACATCATTCCTCCTCGGGTGGCCAATCCTACACAAGATTGTCTCCATTTTGTTCCATATCTAGGGAGGATAACAGAGCTGATACACCACTATCATTCTAAACTTTATGTTCAGGATGACAGGAAAACCCCACCCTTTCTCTCCAGGAAGCAGGGATGACAATAAATGTAGACTGTCTATTAAGACTTTTAAAAAACCACAGATCCTACAGCCCAACTAAAGTGTGATAGTAACAGAGCAGACACAAATGACACAGTTTAATAGTTTGCTGTTTTCAAAAACTTTCCCATTCAGGGGGAAATGAACTATTAAAACCAATACTTCAATGTGTCAAGCCACCTGTCACAAAATGCCCTAACCTTTCATTCCCATGTTGGAAAGCAGCACAAGCATACCACAAATCACTGCAGAGTCAGTAAGGAGCAGCAGTACACATGGATTAAGTCACAGCCAGGACATTCTGTTGCACCATTAAAAATGTATAAGAGGGCTATAACTGAATTGAGAGCTTCTGTTTGAATACTCCTTTGACATCCAAATTTTCCTTGTTTTAAGACTATCATTAAAATGCCAGAGAAACAGGGACATAGAGTTAACTGCAAAAGTTAAACAGGATAGTAATACATTATTGGTTCAGGAAGTGATACAGTGCTGTATGGACATCACACATATGTCCATAGTGAATACTGTCCTTTATCTGCCACATCAAGGAACAACTTTCATTTTAAGAAGTAGCATTATAGGTATATGAACATGAATACCACTTAATTAAGGCATCCTTTGACTGAGTTACTTCAAAACAATGCTAAAAGTTTTAAGTCAGCAGGGTCATGACACACACCTGGGTTAATGTTCAAGTTAAGGCAGGTCGTACTCATTGTTGTTGTGATTGTGGTTGCTGTTAGATCAAGTTTATCTTCATAAAGGAGGGAGGTAACACAAGAAGAAACTCAGAGATCACCTATTCCTCTGTAAATGTAGCACAGTCACCTTGTCTGGCTATCTGCCTTCTTGCAGCTTCTCCACCAAATTCATGCTCCAAGCTGCCTTCTCAGTGCTCCCTTTTTGGGAACAGAATTCCATAGTGGAGGGATGGGATACAATTTGTCCCCTTCCTATCATCCTTCATCCTCTGCCTGCCAACCCAGTGGTCACTTCCCTTTTCTATTTCTTCAATGCTACACCAGCACACTTCCTGTCATTGTAAACCTTCCTCTCTGACTTCAGCTTAACAGGAAGGAACTCAGCCATGCAGCATATATTTGCATGTGAATTATCTAAGGTTCAATATTTGCTATCTCCCATTTAAAAGATCACGTAGCAGATGATGTGAAAAACCTCCGCCTGTGATCATGGAAAGCCTCTGTCCACCTAGAATAGTGAGTACTGGTCTATTTAAACAAATACACTGACCAAATGTAAATTAGAGCTTCCTATGCTTCTACCCACAGAGAAAGCAAATTCTTCCTGGCTGAACAGACAAGGCTGACCTTGTCATGATGCTTGTAAGCAACGTGGCCTGAATGCCTTTGGCACCACAGTATTCATGCTCCAAAGGTCTCTGTGGGGTGCAGACAGCCCTCTTCAAGGGTCTTTTTCTTACACTTCACCAGTTGTCTCCTCTTCTCTCAGTGGCCACAGACTCCTGTTACATTACCATCCCCTTTCTCTCTCTTCCCCTTCCCCTTCTGTCTCACTTCTCTGTAAATTGTCTTCATGCTTCTTAATAGTTTGGATCAGAGTCATGTCTCTTGGTCCCACCACCAGCCCATGGTGTCTCCCAATCCTTGCACATTTAGCAGGCATCTCTCAGTGCCGAGCCTAGCATCAATTGTGGGCAGCAGGAATTGCAACAGTTATCCAGTTCCATCTTCACTAAAGGTCACAGCTCTGCCTCCCTGGCAAAGAGGCATGGGGTAAAGGCATAAAGTTGTGCTACACTTCTGTGGCATACACCAAGAGGCTAGACAGGTAGCATAACACAAGTCTGTGTCTAATAATAAAAAGGTACAGTTGTAGCACAGGGCAACCTACTGTATATGATAAGGGTGAAACTAAAAAATATGGTAGAGTGGGGAGGAGTGTGAACTTGAGAGAGAATACGAGTAATCATTCTGATCTATGCTTGAAATGATAAGAATATCAGAAGAAAAAAAGTATGTGCTATAAAAACAGTGTAATATGGCACAGCGGAGATTTGTATCATGATGTTATTTCTGTGGCTATGAACGTACACACATCCTGTTCATAACAATTGAAAGTTTGGTAGATCCTGTACTGAAGACAATAGTTGAAGGAGGGTCCTAGGATCAGGCAAGTTGAAGAAACAAGCTTATGCTACAAACGTTTCTGATAGACAGAGGGCTACTTGACTGATCTTGTTGGGGACCGCCCTAAATTTATACTAAAGCAACTGCTTAATATAAGAGTGGGCTGACTTCACTCACACATTGTCCATCATCTGTAATTATGCATTACTGTTTATTAGCTAATTTCATATTCTGCCCTTCCTGTGAATGCAAGGCAGCACACATGGCCCTCCTCTTTTGCAAGAGGCAAGTCAGGCTGTGGAAGACTGAAAGGTTGAAAGAAATCTTCCAGTGAGTTTCAAGACTCACTGAGGATGTCAACCTGGGTCTCCCAATACTCTAGCCTAGGCAAGTGCCATTTGGGTTCTGTTTTTCCTAATAGGCAGCTAGGGCGGAGCTCAGCCTGTCCTTGGCTATGAGCCAATCCATTCCAGCCTTCTCCAGGCGAGCATAATTTAGGTGTGGGCCTGGCAGATGGAACTCCTGGAATGGAGAATTATGGGATGTGGAGAATTTAATAAAAACAGTTACACATGCCTATAATTGCAACTATACCACTGCACTGGCTCTGTAGATTTCTGGCACTAGAATACATGTACCGTACATATATCCTTAAATGAATGGAGAAACATAGAGACAATTGATATTG